GGCACTGGGAGGGGCTGGGACCGCCAAAACCCCATTTCTGCTTCTATTCCATCCCTCCCCCCAATTGTGGTGTCCCCCTGCCCTTAAGAGCCCAGGGGAACCCCCCGTCCCCCCCCTTCCCAGGACTCTAGAGGGGGGCTCCCAGGACCCCCAGAGCCCCGTTATTCCCAGCCCTGTCTCCCCCCAGGACTCTCGGGGGGCTCCTGGGCCGCCTGGATGCCGCCGGCGGTGTCGGGGCTGTCAGGGTCGTGCGTGTCGGTGCCGTGTCGGTTCGGGTACCCCGAGGAGCTCCGGCCCAGCTCCGTGCAGGGGCTCTGGTACTTCGGCAGCCCCTACCCCAAGAACTACCCCCCAGTGGTCGCCCGGTCCCGCCCCGGCGCCGTCCACGAGAGCTTCGCGGGGCGGGCGCGGCTCGAGGGGGACCCGGGAGTGCGGGACTGCTCCCTGCTCCTGGGGCCCCTGAGCCCCGAGCTGGCCGGCAGGTACTACTTCAGGGGGGACCTGGGGGGCTACAACCAGTACAGCTTCTCCGAGCACACCACCCTCGAGGTGCTCGGTGAGTCCCGCTGAGGGGTGGGGGATGCTGGGGAGGGGAAGACCCCGGGCTGGGGGGGCTGGGAGCCCAGTCTGGGCGTGGGGAGGGAGGTTTGGGGGATTGGGATCCTGGTTTGGGGGTGGGGAGGAGGGTCTGGGGGGGGTGGGGAGGGGGAAGTGGGGCACTGGGGCCCCACTTTTTCAGGGCTGGGCAGGGACGTTGCACCCCTGGGCCCTCATTTCCCCTCATCCCCAATCATGGAGGCTGTCCCGGGGTCCTTGTCCCCAGTACCACGGGGGGTGTCCCAGGGTGTGTCCCCCCTGCTCCAGCTGACCCCCCCCCACCCACCACATTGCCCCCGCAGAGGAGCCGGTGCTGGAGGTGCCCCCCGAGGTGGTGGCGGGGGTCCCGGCCGAGCTGCGGTGCCGGGTGCCCGACTCGTGCCCGCGGCAGCGCCCGCGAGTGTCCTGGGAAGGGGCCGAGGACCTTCCGGAACGTTCCGAGCGGGAGTCGCGCGAGGACTCGAACGGCGCCGGCTCCGTCGTGGCCCTGCTGCGCTTCCGGCCCCGCCGGGAGCTCGGGGGGCACCGGGTGGGCTGCCAGGTGACCCTGCCCAACTCCAGCCTGGCCTTCGCCGCCAGCGTGGCCCTCGATGTGCAGTGTGAGTGCGGGAAAAGGGCGGGCTCTGAGGGGTGGGAACGCCCCCCCAGTGGGCACCTGGGACCCTCAACACCTGGAACCTCCCTTGGGCACCCCTGGGACCCCCACACACACCTGGGACCTTCCCACACACACCTCTATCCCCCTCAACACCTGGGACCCCCCCGAAACACCTGGTACTTCCCCAAACCTGGGTCTCCTTTTTTAGGAGACTGGGAGGGGCATCCCCCCCTCCCCCATTTTGGGGATCTGGGACCCCTTTTTGGTGGGGGACACAGCTGGACCCCCCCCAGTGCAACCAGTGGCAGCGGGGATGCCCGTGGGGACATCACTGGGGGGGTGGGAGTCCCTGGGTCACCAGCACCTCCCCCAAATCCCCTCCTTTTTCCTCCCAGACGAGCCTCAGGTGCTGGAGGTGTCGGGGCCCCCCGAGGCGCTGGAGGGGGCCGAGGTGGAGTTGGGGTGCTCGGCCGAGGGCCGCCCCCCCCCTCTGCTCTCGTGGTTCCGGGGGCCGCAGGTGCTGCAGGAGGAGCCGGGGGTCCCGTCCCTGCGGCTGCACCTGCCCCAGGTGAGCCCCAGCGACAGCGGCACCTACACCTGCGTGGCCGAGAACCGGCACGGCCGCCACAATCGGAGCCTCGAGCTGCACGTGGCCTGTGAGTGGGGGTGGGTGGAGAGGGGGTGGGACCACCTCAGGGCACCCCCCGGCACCGGGGACCCCTCTAGGGTCACCCCTTTTTGGGGGGGTTGGGGGGGGGTGTCGCTCTCTTTAAGTGTCGTCCCCTCGCCATGTCCCTTCTCCAGCTGACTGGGGTCAATCCTGGGTCCCTCTCGGAGGATCCTTTTTGGGGCGTCCCCTCTCTTTCCTGGGTCACCTCTTTTTGGAGGGGGATCTCCCGTGTCCCCCCAGCAGCCGGCAACCCCTGACCCTCCCTCTCCCCCCCAGACGCCCCCCGCCCGCCGGTGCTGAACGGCTCGCTGTGGGTGGTGGCGGGTGACCCCGTGGCTGTCACCTGCGGGGCCCTGAGCCACCCCGCGCCCATCCTGACGGTGGCCCGCGGGCGCCGCGTGGTAGCCACGGCCGTGTACGAGCCCCAGGTGACCCTGGAGGTGGCGGCGGCCACGCCTGAAGACGCCGGGGAGTACCTGTGCAGGGCCGAGAACCAGCACGGGGGGAGCAGCCTGGCCTTCAACATCACCGTGGAGTGTGAGGGGGGGCCCGGGGGGGGTGGTTGGGGGGTTTGGAGATCAGTCTCGCATTCAGCAGCACTTTGGAGTGCTGGAGGGGTGGAGGGGGTTGTCCTCAGGGGGCCCTGGAGGGGTTCTGGGGTCACTGAGGGTGGTATTTGGGTCACTAAGGGGGGGCTCGGGGAGGTCTCGTGGTGGCTGGGGGTGTTTTGGGCTCCCCCTGGGTGGAGTTCTGGGGTGCCCTGTGGTGTCTGGGGGGGTTTCGGGGTCCCCCGGCTGCAGTTTTGGGGTTTTGGGGTCCCCTGGACACAGTTCTGGGGCCCATTTCAATCTCTCCCCCCTCACAGACCCTCCCATTCTGCTCCCTGAGTCCCGCTGCACCCCAGTCGGGGAGGGGGCCCGATGTGTCTGCGCCGCCTCGGCCGTGCCCGAGCCCGTGGTGGCCTTCGAGCTGCCCTCCCACAACCTCACCGTGGCCGAGGGGCACCGGGACTACGCCCTGGCCACTCCCGGGGGGGTTCCCAGCCCCGGGACGGGCCCCGGGACGGTGACGGGGGTGCTGACCCTGCGCGGGACCCTCGAGCCCCGGCTGGCCGTGCTCTGCCTCGCCCGCAACGCCCACGGCACCGCCCGGCAGCAGCTGCGCTTCCACCACCCCGGTGAGGGATGGGGGGCACCTTCTGGGGCACGGGGGGCAGCTTTGGGGGGCAGCTGGGGCATGGGGGGCACCTCTTGGGGCC